GTTTTTTGTATTTTTTTTTAGTAGAGACGGGGTTTCACTGTGTTCGCCAGGATGGTCTCCATCTCCTGACCTCGTGATCCGCCCATCTCGGCCTCCCAAAGTGCTGGGATTACAGGCTTGAGCCACCGCGCCCGGCCTCAGCAACAATTTTCTATATGAAAAGCAGATCCTGGCTTACTACTGGGTACTGATAGAGATTTCACATTTGAACACAGAGCACCAAGTGACTACACATTACAGACTGCTCATTGTGTACTGGTTGTTATTCCACCAAATCACACACAAAGTAACGTTCCATTGCAAAAGGAAGTCTAGAAGAAAAGTAAATTCCATATGCAAGTGACTAGAATTCCACAGTACCTGGTCTTATTGCTTCACTACCTCTGCCCCTCAATTTGTGTTTATGGTCTCATGGGAATTCCTTATTACCAGTTAACAGCTAAGGAAAAATTATAGAACTGGTTTACAGATGGTGGGGAGTGGCACCAGCCAAAAGTAAACAGCTTTCACTTACACCTCTACTCAGAAGTGGCCTCAAACACGCTGGTGCAGGCAAATCCTCCCAGTGGGCAGAATTTTACGTATGTATCTAGTTGTCCAGTTTTCACGAAAGGTAACATAGCCTAAGATATGTTTATATTGATTAATGGGTAGTGACTAATGGGTTATTTGATTATGGAGGTACCTAGAAAGAACAAGATTGGAGGACTGGAAGCAAAGATTCTAGGGGAAAAGTATGAGTGAGGATGGAATTCCTAGAATAGGCAATGAATGTGAATATATTTGTGTCGCATGTGAATCCTCACCAAAGGGCATCCACTGTGGAGAAGCCTTTCCGTCAGACAGATATGATGATCTACTTTATGACTGTCAACCAGTCTCTTTTCCAATGCTTATCCAACAGGCTCATGTATAAAGTAGTCATGGCAGTGGGAATGAGAACTATATATGGGCTCAACAATATGGACCTCCCCTCATTAAGGCTGATATGCCTATCACAACTTCTATGTGCCCAAGCAGCTAACAGCCAAGACCGAAACCAAGCCCCTAAAAAGGTACCATTCCCTAGAAATGGGGCAGATTCACTACACTGAACCACTTCTATCAAAAAGAGGGCAGCGATTTGTTTACAAAGTATTAAATACATAGTCCAGATATAAATTTACATTGACTTAAGGTTATGTTTATTACCACAGTATTCGATACTGTTGCCTCCAAGTAACTCATTTTTCAGGAAAAAAAGTATAGCAGTGAGTTCACATACATGTAATTCATAGGTCTTGCCATATGCCCATTAATCAAAAAGTATGTGGAATTATCTGCTAAAGGCTGAGTTATGTCAACAACACAACACCCTGTAAGTCTGGGGTGCTGTCATATAGATGCAATATATGCCTTAAATCAAAGGACAATAAATATTGTTTTTTTCACCATGGCCAGAATACATACACAGGTACAGGAACCAAGGGTGGAGGAAGAGTGAGAATGGTTCCTCTTATTAGAGACCTAATAATTTGCTTGTATTACTTTTGCTTTCTATCCCCCGAATTGTGGGCATGGTGAGTTTGAAGTTCTCATGCTCATGCTCAAAGGAGAAATGTTTCCACCATGAAACAAAGTCATGATTTTGTTAATTTCAAAGATGAAACTGTCTCCTGGTCATTCTGGGATCCTCATGCTGCTGAACCAACATAGAAGGGATCACTTTACTGTCCAGGATGACTGATCTCAATTACCAAAGGGGAACTGGTTGCTGCAACACAGGAAGGGCATTTATAGAAAGAGTATGTCTGGAACTCAAGAGGATTCAATGGGATGCGTCTTAGTCCTCTCATGTCTAGTAGGCCTAGTCAATGGTACACTGAAGCAGCCTGAAAGAAGCAGGATTACTGAGGACTCAGATCATCCAGGAAAGCAGCTTTATATTACTTGACTAGGTAAAGAAATTTATGCCACCGAGGTGCTGGCAGAGAGTAAGGGAGATATAAAATGAGTAATGGAAGAAGATAATTAGGATTATCAATTTAGGCTTTGTGAATAGCAAAAACAGTAGCCATCATGCTTTATGTTAATTATGCCTTTTCCCCCTTTCCCTCACCATTTTATATGAAGGGCACTAGTGGGAGTTAAATTCCAGGTTTCCGGTGGGAATATGATTTAATTATGTCAACTTGAATTTAAATGGCAGCTTAAGGGACTTTGTTATTCTGCTATGTTGGGGTAGATACTGCAGGATAAAAGTGGTGGATTATAATGAATATTTTCCTTTTACCTCTGCAGATCTACTCTCCACCCTGCTCTGTGCCCTACCCTGCTCTGTACCAGGAGATTGATGTTGACAGATTGTACCACCTGGGGTTCCATGCCCTCTGGTATGCAAGTAGGTTTGGGCACAAGTGGGAAAATAGTAGAGTGACTGACTGTACTGGTTTGCCTAAAACTGAAGGGGCTATTGCGGCTTTCAGTGCTAAATTCCAGGCAAACTGGGATGAACTGGTCACTCTACATCCTGGCTCTCTCCTTGCTGGGCCAGTAGCTGAGCCTTTTAGCAAAGGCCAGAGCTCCTATCAGATGGCTAAAACCTACAGCTGTACTTTCCAGGGTCTGGTAATCAATCTCTCCCCTGGTCCCTGAAGACCTACAGGTAGTAACTGCTCCCCAGTGTTGTCTGATCTATAGCTGTTCTCCATCCCTTGCTGACTTCTGTAATCATCCCCATCCTCTTCATGAAACTCCGAATTACTGCACTGGAATGAGCCATCTGCTTCCTGCTAGAATCCTGACTGATATATCCTGGTTTAATTTCTCCATAACCATTATCATTATCTAATAATATAATGAGCCTTCATTTATTTTCTCCTTTCCTCCACTAGCATGTAAGCACTTTGACAGCAAAGGCTTTGTGTGTTCGGCTCACTGCTATATCGCCAGCACTTAGAACAGTTATTGGCACAGAGGAAACCCTTAATAACTGATATTATATGGCTAGTAATTAATAAGGTATGATCTTATTAGTAAACATTTATCAATAATAAATATTTGGTGAATTAAATGAATGATTTTCAGGATATATTAATGTTAGCAGTGACTATCTCTAGAGGGTGGAGCTGAAGGTTATTTAAATTTTGTTTTGTGTTCTCCTATTCTTTACAAATTGACTTTAGTATAACTGTATTTCTCTATAATAAAATGTTATTTTATACATATTCTAAGAGACATAAACACAAGGACTAAGTATATCAATTTATGTAAAACTGCAAGGAAGAGGTCCAATTCTCCAGTGATTCTCAGGAAAGATAAGAGCTAGATGTCTTGGAATAGATTATTAAGGAATGACAAGCTCTAGATATAGGAGAGAAAAACTAAGTAAAATAAAATAAAGACGCTCCAAGACTGAAAAGAAGCAGAAGATCTAGAGTGAAAAAAGGGACAATGGAAGGTGACTCATAGGAAAAACAGCGCAATAAGAGGACAAACCAAAAAGAAGTAACGTGATGCGGAAATGAGACCCTACAGGACACCTGAAAAAAGTTGAGATCAAAATTATCTTACTTAAAATAATAGTGGCTACCAATTATAAAGAATTACTGTAAGCAAAGTCTGTGCTCAGAGTTTTACATTAAGGATCTTGTTTAGTTTTTTTTTTTTTTTGGTGTTTCTTTGGAGACGGGATTTTAGTCTGTCGCCCAGGCTGGAGTGCAGCGGTGCAATCATACGTCACTGCTGCCTCTGAACTCCTGGGCTCGAGCAATCCTCCCACCTCAGCCTCCCAAATAGCTGGGACTACAGGCACACATACACCACTATGCTTGGCTAATTTTTTAAATTTTTGTAGAAATGGGGTCTCACTTTGTTGCTCAGGCTGGTCCTGAACTCCTGGCTTCAAGTATTCCTCCTGCCTTGGCCTCCCAAAGTGTTGGGATTACAGGTGTGAGCCACTGCACCTGGCCTGTTACAGTATTAATGTACCCCAGTGAATCCTATCTCCCAGTACCTATATCCCTGTGTAGTTTCCTTCTACAATGACTTCAGAACTGGTCATATGACCTGCTTTCATCAATGAGACATTAACAGATGAAACACAAACATAGGTATGAAAAGTGCTAGGTATTGGAGAGCTTGCCTTCTCTTTGACTGGAAACAAGCTGTCCTGCAAAAAAGTCCAGGGTCACCTGCTGAAGATATGTGGACTCAAGCCATAGCCAGCACCAACAGTCTGACATTGAGACAATGTGATTGAAACCATCTTAGACTCTGGCCCCAGAAGAGTCAGCCCTGAGATGCCTGCATAAATGACCCCAGAAAAGATCAAGAGAAAAAAAAATTGACCAGGTGAACCCAGCTCAAGTTGATGACCTACAGAACCATAAGAAGTAATGTGATTTAAAAAGTCTGATGTTTCAGGTCACTAAATTTTGGGGTTCTTTATTCTGGAGTAATACATAGATATAAATCTCAAAATAACTTCAAGGTATGAATTACTATACACTTGAAAAGTGAGGAAACAGAATCGTAAAATATATGAGTAACTTACTGGAGCTAGCTAAGTGACAAAACTACTGTTTGAATCTAGTTTGTCAGACTCCAGAACTTTTAACTATGCCCCTACAGTAGATAAGAGAAATGATCAAAACTGACAGATTAGCAATGAGGTCTTTATACAGGGAAAAATGAATGACTTTGGGGTCTTTAAAAAGTGGAGAGAGCTGCATGAGAATTTGATTGCCTGATTTTGAAATAAAGTCACGTGACTATGCTTGGTACACTAAAGAGGTAATAGTGCCTAACAGAGTTAAGGGGGATCATTTGAAGACACTAGCACAGGGTGACACCCCCTCATCCTCCCCACCCCGCCAAAGCCACTAAGAAAGACGTAATACCCTGCCTCTCACCTGACAGAAGGTGGTGTTCCTGAGATTCATAATTGAACTGGATCTCCATGGGCTGCAACTGGACACCTCAGGGTGCAAGTGGAGAATTACCATTTCCTCTGTAAGCTTTTCTTGTCCACATAAAGGTCTGGGACCTGGAGGCAACTGGGCACCACTGGGCTTGGAAGGGAATCATTGTGCTGACTACAGATGTAATCTCTGAGACTAGACCACCAGAAAAATCCTCAAGATAGAAGGAGAAAACAAAAAATCTCATTTGACTTCCAGTTGCTTTTCTCTCAGAATGTATTAGGCTTCCTCCTCATCATCGATGAACCAGGGATTAACCCACTTAAGACACACATTCCCCATTCCAAGTCTAGAGATGTTCAAACAAAATTAGGGGTTAATGCTACCCAAAAAAGGTGTAACTGTAAAGATAACGCAGAGGGGGAAATTTTACAATGAATTCTAGTGGTTAACACTATGTTATTCGCTGCCCTTCCTATCCAAAAATGACACTTTTTTCTTCCCCTTTTGCTTTTTCCAACACTCACAAATTCAGGTGGCTCTTTCCCAGTACGGTAGGCTGATTTGTGTGGATGCACCACGCTTGGTGACTCCACCCGCCCCACAGAGTTTCTGGCGTTCATTCGGTTGAACCCAAGGCCAGCAAGGGCTGACTGGGGACAAACCCAACACTAGGCCGTGAACCAATCGGCTCTCCGTGTCCAGGAGCGACCCCGGGGGCCTTCACTCTCCAAGGACTCGAGAAACCACGCACAGTTTCCTGGCGGCGCTGTGAGGCCGCTCGTTAGGCAAGATCATCCGGAATTCCTCTGCTATCCACGAGCCGACATCACCCGTACCTCGACTTGGTCACCGGACCGCTGTGAAGCCTCACACCCGGCGAACCCGCCATCGCTCTGTCAGCTCTAGGAATCTGGGAGGAGTGCTCAGCTCTATGGTGCGTCACTGCGCAGGCGCAGGGCGGCGACGGGGCATCAGGTGAGGGAGGGTTGCCGAGAATTAACCCCCGAAAACCCGCGAGCTGTCCCTAGCAGTGCCTTAGCCAGGGACCTGCTTGGCCAGCGACAGATCCCTTGCTGCT